GAGAGAGAGAGAGAGAGAGAGAGAGAGAGAGAGAGAGAGAGAGAGAGAGAGAGAGAGCGAATTGAGACCGGTTTTGAAACAGGAAAACTGCCGAGCCGTGCTGGGCCGGCGAGGTTTGGGGTACGTTCCTCATGGGTTATGGGCGAGAATGAGAGAGAAGGAGGAGGCGGGAAGATCAGAGATGCAAGCGCGCGCCAAGGCAGCAGGCCTGCGGCCCTGCAAAGCAGCAGGCCCTGGAGCAGGGCGTTTCCTACCGAGAGCTGCAGAGAATGCAGCCCTCTGGGGACGCCAAACGTAGTTTAGCCGAAGAAATTGATTATAAAGGCGTCCAGGTGGGCTCACAAAGTGGCGCCCCGCCACCGACTTCTTCAGCGGCTCAAAAAGTGATCAGATATAGAAAGAAATTAAAAATTAAAATATAAGAGGGAGTGCAGGAGAGGAGAGGGAGGATGTACTGTAACTTCGCAAACCATCTTTTTGGTCTATACAGCATTTACCTTAGACACTGTTCGGTCCGTATCTTTACGGTCTGGTCCGTAGTTAAAATATGCACGATGGACCGTAGGAAAACTGTTCTTCCTTACAGCATTTTTAATAGTGTCCTTTACACATGGACGTGGACGGCCATGCTACTATCTGCACATAAAAATCCAACTTCTCTGATACTTGGTGCCAAAAAGGTCAATTCTCTTTGGGGTGCCAGTACACACTAAATCCTACTCTTTCTGCATTACTAAAGAAACTCTCTTCCTTGAGGTCTTCACGTGATTCGTCGAACGACTTAAAAGCCAAGCTTGGTACGGAGGCGCGGGCCGTTATAACGGCATCATCTGAGCGGAACGACCAGCCTTGCCCCGGCTTGCCACACTACGCCAAGCGCAGGCCGTGCCGGGCGCGACACCTGCTATGGCCGGGCGGTGCGCGCACAGGTGGCGCTCGATAGCATGAACCTCGATTAGTCGAGATTTGGAAAAAGTAGGTCGCCAAAAGTAAAACAAGAGGTGAAATCGCATCGATTTGACTATAATGACAGTACGGCGCAAAAAGGGGGGAGGGGTGTATGCGGAGCACGTTGGTGGGAGGAGGGCGGGAGAGGGGAAGGCGGGGAGTGAGGGAGGCAGTCAGCACAGCACTGTCAGTGTCATTTCTATACTTATCGCCGCCCCGCTATCTATCGGTCCGTCTCTCGAACAACACCCCACGAGCACCATAATGGATGCACGGCTCCGAAAACACAAATTGACCAGCTCACATATCTCTCTTCCCCCCCCCCCCCCCCCCCCCCCCCCCCCCCCCCCCCTCTCTCTCTCTCTCTCTCTGCCATTTTCGGGCAAAAAGAAAAGACGGAAGCGAGAAACCATACACTGGTAAAACAAGTGTGCAAAATTTGCACACCAACGCGTGGAAGTTATGATTTTGCACATTGCATGGCGGTTAACTTAGGTTGCACACTAGCGTGTTGTGCTAACTTTAGAAGTTTTGTCAACGTTTAAATTCTGCACACTTAGACACAGTTTTATGCTGTCAATAGGAAGCACATGGTGTGCAGCTGCTGCGTACTTTTCGGAAGTGTCGAAAGTTTAAACACCAATTGACGTATAACCTAGGTAGACACCACAATGTGCCCTGAAAATGCAGACTTAAACTTAAACATCAACTGACGTGCTAAATTAAACACTTGTGTTACCAGTTTAACGAACAAACAAGTGAACGAGCTCGCACGGCAAATAATGACACATAGGGCAGGCAAGTGCTGTCGCCACCCCCAACACAGAATCTACCATAGCAGGGAAAGAAATCGCTCCATTCTGAGCTTTGCGCGCGGGCCTCAAGCCAGCCAGCGCCGACTCTCGTTCGCTTAGGTCGTGTGTTTGGGTCGGGAGCTGGGAGAAAAGAAGAGGGGGGGGGCGTCTGGCGATGCCGGGAACTGCAGGACGACACCGCGCAGATGAAGCTCCTTGTGTTCGGTAAACGGCGTGGAAAGACTCACACAAACACACCAATACACTCTCAGGCTTCCCTCCTACTACCACCTCTCCTACATCCATCTAATCCCTCTCTCATACGCGCCCGCACACACACACTGTGATTTTTAGTGATGATTGTGTTGTTAAATAACAACTATGTTGTTTGAGAATAACAAAAGTTGTTGGAAAACAACCGTGTTTGTTTTCATATAAAACAAGACATCTGTTGTTTCTGGTTACTTACTTGTATGACTGGGCAACTTTTGTTGCTGCTTACCAACAGTCGTTGGTCGTTGTTATACATTAAAAATCCATGTTATGTGACTACAGTCAGTGAAAAACTTAACAACAACTTTACTGTTAATTGTCCAAAATTGTTTTTATAGTGCACCCACACAAAGACAATAAACACACACGCACACACACGAGCACACGTGCGCTCCCATGAAACCCGTGGCGCATGGTCACCGGTCTGCATAGGTCCATATGTCGTTTTGCGCGGCCAGCAGACAGACGCGACCCCGACACTGACAGACGCACCCACCAAACACACAGACAAACACATGCACACGCAGACGCAGGATACCGCCACGCTCCGCTCACGCCCCGCCCGCCCGTGACATACACAACAGTCACAGGTCAGATAGCACGGCTGGGCGGAGGTCACAGTGCACTTAATCTCCGCCCAAGCTGACAGGCCCGCTGAACACAGACATACACGCAAGTGCGCAGTAGACAGACAGACGGCAGTACCACCAGCATCATCTATCGCACATCATAAAAATAACAAAATAAAAAAAAACAGAGAGAAAAGAAAAAAAGTGTCATTTGCATACCGCTCCCAATATTTTTATTTCGCAACATCGTTAATAGCTGTCGCGTCTGCCAATTTATATGGCGGCCAGACCAGCGGCAGCGCGGTGGGGGGCAGTGGCAAGGGCAATGTTGTAGATGAGCGCACAATGGGGTGCAGGGACCGGGTATGATCCGCCCACAACACGGCCGACTAGCATGAAGGGAAGAATGTCAGGGAAGATTAAGGACAAATTACTGCGAACAAAAGTAATATTTGATAAATCGTCGGAATAAATAAATTTTCATCTTGAAACGAACTAAAAGTTAGAATACGACGCTGAAACTTTCGCTTCGCCTCGCCTTTCAGAAACGTCGTCAAACACCCCAAAAAGCGTGTTCTTGAAAGAAGTAGATCTGCTCGGCTAAGCCGAGAACATTTTTGCTTGTCCCGATACAAACTGAATTGGTACAACTGAAAATTGCATTGGCCTGATACAAATGTTCTTGCGAAATCAAGGGTCAAGAACATGCTTTTCTAGGTGTAATAAAAAGGCTATACGGGGAGGAGAACGGAAGCTGCTGCTGCTAGAAAGAGAATTGAATATGCGTTGGCACAAAACTTGCCGCCGCGCGCGACCGCCGGAACAGCGCGGCGGGGTCCTAACGCAGGGGTCCCAATCAGCGCTGCTTTGCCTCCCTCGCCTCCCCTGCGCCGCACACCTTCGGGCCCCCTTTAGGGAGGCTTGGCAACTAAGCCTCGTGTATCAGCTGCGGCTGCCGAGGCTTAAGGAGGCGCGCCGCGCGGACTTCCAGGTAGGCCGCCCTGCATTTGTGGCGCTCACTTGCTACGTACAACGATGTGAACAAGGTCGATATACGCGGAAACTGCGTAAAATACGTTAGTAAATGTAATACAAATTTTGTAATTTTGCCATTTACAAATGGATTGTGACTGTACAACTTCCCACTCGTGCTCGTCAATTGATTTAAATTTGATGCGGAGCAGTGCTTGTACATCTACAATCTTGAATTGTAACTGTACGACTTCTCCCACGGAAAATTTTCCTGTACCTGGGTCGTACGTCAATTTTCAAGTGGAAGAAAAGAAAAATACCGTCGAGTTCATTTTCATTTGAGGTGCGAGTCAAGGGACTGTCCAGGAAGTACGTCATGTCCGACGTCCGTTTCTCTCAGATTCTTTCGGCATGTTACGGTTGCTTCGGCGCCTGTGAGACTCGGGGTAGGCCAGCCCGCAGTGCACGCACGCATTGCAAGCAAGATGTTGCCTACACATCAGGCGCTATGAGGGCTTGGCTGGCATTATAGGCTGAACTTAGCGAAGACCTGTGGAATGACAAAACGGAGGTACGGAGGTTCTTTCCTGGATGAGCACTAAGACGAAAAGTTAAAAGTTTTCACTTGCTCTCCCCGCCAGCACGTAGCAAGAGAGGGAGATTTACCAGTGCGGTTGCACGCCACCGGCAGCGACTCTCCCGGAGGAACAAACAACAAATTTTTAAACGCGAAAAGGAAATTAATTCTGCGGCTTAGTTGACCTCGCAGGCTTGCGTTTCGCTGCACAAAAAATTAACGGGGCACGCATGTGGGATGTGGGAGTGGACCACGCGCAGTAGCAGCCTGCGGGGGTGGAGAGTGGGAGAGAGAGAGGGAGAGGGAGA